CTCCTTCCATATTAATTTATGATTGGAATGGACTTCTCAATTTTTCAATGGATTATCACTCATTAATGCCCTTCATTATTTACGTGTTCAGATTATATTTTGACATCTTCACTCGGCTGTCTCGCAGAAAGTTCAAACTCAACATGTCCAAAATGGAACTCTTAATTTCCCACCACAGATGAACGAACCCCCCACTTCATCTTAGTCTTCTCATCCTAGGAAATGTCACCATCCTCTCCCCAGTTGTTCAAGCCAGAAACCTAGATGTCCCCCTCTGTTCTTCTCTGGTCCTCAGCCTGTACACCACCTAATTCATACGCAAGTTCTGTTGGGTCTAGCCCCAAAAGCACATCTTGAGTCCCCCTCCTGTCTCCATTTCTATCCCATGGCTCGCATTTCCACCATCCTCACTGCACACCGGAAGCATGGCAATATCTCTCCCTGCCTCCAAGTACTTCCCACTCACTAGCCAGTGTGACTGTTTAAAAAAAAATTTGTAATCAGATCATGTGTTTCCCCTACTTCAAACCCTCCAATAGCTTTTCATTCCATCTAGAATAAACTACAGCCTTTGGCACAGCCTCCGGAAGTCTGCAGCCTCTTTGACTGCATGCTCTTTGACTGCATCTCCACTACTCCCCCTACCCTATCCCCATCCCTGTCTCTCCCCCTTTTATCCCCCACCCTGCCGGTGCTGCAAGGGGACATGCAAACACCTACATCCCAGGTACATGACTGACTTCCCCCAGCCAGCCTCACCACATGACCCTCCCCAGAGCACTTGCTTAACAGGAACCCAGATTCTGGGGAGAGTTTTCCACTGGATCGTCTCACTATTGAGCAATTGCTGCTGTTCAAGGGATCGTCCTCCCAGCCCTTGGATTTGAAAGTGGTTTGTGGAGATGACTCATTTGCGGCTTCATGTTCAAGAAAGCCATGGTTTATGGTTTGGTTTTGTTTGTCAAGGAAAGTGGGAGATTATGAGAAATAGGAAAAAGTTCTCACTGAAATCAATGAAGGACAGTGGGCTGAAGCCCCTCTCTGAACCTCTATTTGCAACTTGGAGGAGGGGCTCCCCCAGCAGCCACAGGTCCACGCAGTGCCTCTTGGGTCTCCCCAGGTGCCTGGGAAGGGGCTGGGGACTAGCGAGAGTGCCAGCACCCTGACACCTTTTCTGGTCCCTGCAGACTTCCAGTTTTTATAGGTATGGACCTTGGTTGATATGTTGGACTTTGGTGTTTGGTTCTGTCTCTGGACTGTTGCTTTTTGGAGATGCTGGGCAACTCTCTCCTAATCTCACTGGTCTAACAAATAAAACCAAAGGGAGACCTTCTCCTCTGGGTTCAAATGGGACTTCTGTTCAATTCTCACTTGACCCTGCGCTACCCAGTCCTGCTTATCTCCGGTGCTCCAGCCTCCCCGCCTGTGTAACACCCCCCAGAGACTTGACCTTCCCTCCGAAATATGATTCCCTGCCCAAGCTCCCGTGCTCTTAAGCTGGGACCTAGGGTGCTGGCCATGAACACCTGGCAGCCCCACCTTGTCGCTTCTCGAAGCACCTGGTTGGAACCCGTCCTTTCTGGCTAGCAGACCCTGACTCTGGATCCCTGGGGCCCTGCCTTGGCAAGACTGAGGCAGTGGGAGGGGAGAAATCTAGTCAGCAGTGTTTGCCTCTCCCTAAGCCAGGCTTAAACTCTTAGGAGGACTAGACTTTGTTCCTAAAGAACAGGGCAGTGCTGTGCAAACAGCCTGACCCCCGGAGGGTCTCCTGGGTCTCCACCGTGGGCTTCACAGCTTTTGAGTATCACCCACAGCTGACCACAGCTGACTCCCCTGGGCTTCTGGCAGCAGAGGATTATTTTTGGGGGAGGAGTCTTTGGGCATTTCTGAGGCTGTCCCCTGAGCTCTGCCACTGACCAACTGTGTGGCCTTGGCCAAGTTACTTTGCCCTTTCTGTCATGTTGGGATGGTACGAGTCCTCTGACCTGGAATCGGGAGGATAAGCAAGCCCCTCAACTACCAGTTCTTCATAGTTAGTGGTTACTACTATTGGTGCGACCACTGACTCCTCCCATTTGTAATTATTTCTTTACTTTCTGTTGTCCCCAGTAGCTCCTCGCTCTGTATCTGCCCCATCTTCCTCTCTGACCCCAGAGACTGACTGTCAATACATATTGTTTGATGAATGAATGAAGGAATGAATGAATGAACTTGTCATGAGAGTTAAATGAGGTGCTGGGAAAGCTCTCGGCACAGAGAGGCCCTTCATCTGGGAGCAGGGAAGTGGACGGGCCCTCAGCAGCTCGGCGGGGGCAGGCCCAGCTCTGAGCATCGGGTGCACAGTGGGAGAGCCCAGGTGCTGCTGCGGGAAGGTTTCCAGGTGCTTCTCAAACCAGGTGGTACAGCCCCGGCAGGCAGCTTCTCACTTCTGACCTGTGTGTGAAGTTTTGGCCCCGCTCTACACGTGGCCTCCTGGTTCTCCTCAGAGGAGGAGAACCGGCTGCACCATCCGCTGGCACCTCAGATCCTCTCAGGGGCCTGGGTCTGAGCTGTGGGTGATGGCTACCGCCCGTCCCCAGAGAAAATACCATCTCTTTCCCGTCAGTGTGAACTCTCACATTTACATTGTTGCCAAGTTGGAAAAAACAATAACATAAACTCCCCTCCCCTGTGAGGCCCTGAGGAGAGAAGAGAAAAAAGCCCATCCCGGTCCAGGAAACAAAGTCCTCTCTGTTGGAAGACATGGGCTTCTGTTCAAGTCCCCAGGGTCCCCGTGGCGGCAATGGATTGAGCTGGGCCCAGCAAGTGGGGTTTACTGTGTGGTCTGGGGCAGCCCCCCAAGGCCTTGTTTCTCACCGTGGGAGAGGGGCAGCTCCCAGCCTCGCTGAGGCACCCGTCAAGGGGCTGATCCCTCCAGGCCTGTGGGATCCCAGGGGCCTGAATGCCTCTCCTGTCCCCGGGGGTCAGTGCCTCCCACCCCTGGCCCTGGGAGGCCTGATCAAGGGCACATCATGTCCCTTGCCAGACTGAAGCCCAGTGTGTGCCCAGAGTCCCTCTCCTTCAGAACAGTCTTCCTTTTTACCGCCCTGCTCAGGAAACAGAAAAGGTTAAAATTTCCATCTTCTGCCTTAATTCCTGCTGTGACTCAGTCTCTGACAGGAGTCCTTTTTTTTTTTCCCCCCACCTTCCAGGGCGAGTCTGAGCTGGAGGCTCAAGGCAGAGAAGCTGACAACATGGAGCATTCTGGATGTGCCTCTGGAGAAGGCCGTTTTGCCACCTCCACCCCAGTGCTGCCATGGAGACAGGCAGCCATGGGCCTGGGGCCTGAAGGAGGCTCAGTCTCACGCAGATCTGAGAGGCAGGTGAGCCTGAAGGCTTCGCCATCCTGGCCTCTCTGCCTCCCCTCAAAGCCAGACACTCACCTTCCTTTGCTCTATTTCAGGCCTCAGCCCCGCCTGTTCTCAGCTCACTACCTCAGCTCATTACCTAAGGACATTTTCCCCAGCAGGGTGCTCAGGTGAGCTTTTCCAGCTGCCGGCAGTTGGGTGCTGACCCTGAAGTGGCCAAGCAGGGCCTCGGGGTTACGAGGCCCTCGAGGTTTGGGGAAACAACGTGTGTGCTGAGCTGACTACAGAGCGTCTGGGATGCCATGGTGAGTGTTTCTGTGGTGACTCAGGGCAGCCTGCCTGTGGCCTGAAGATCTGTTAACTTGAGGACCTTCTCTGGTGCCAGTGTCTGTGGCTTCAAATAAGACAGGTTAACTCTCCGGTGGTAGAGTAGCGAGCGAAATCGTAACTGGAGTCGTCCGTGGAAGTGAGACAAACGTCTGACCCATAGCTCCAGGAAATGCTAAAATTTTCAGCCAGGTGTAAATTGTTCCACAGCTATTACAGTTTTCGCTGCGGTGGGAACATCCGGAAGGGTGTTTTGCCGCATTTAGGAAAGCAAAGAAAGAAAAATAAAACAAGAAGGTGATTGGAAACTCTAGTCAAGGCTTGTAAAATCAATACCTAAGTTCTCAGAGTACACAGGAAAAATGTCATGATATGCTGACTTATTCCTATCCCTAACCCCAGAGATGGTCTCTTGTTGTTTTTGTAATAGTAAAAGTAAATACTGGAGAAACAAAAAATTTACGCAGAATCCCGTCACTTAACATGCCACGATTATTTGCCTGGATGGCTTGGTTTTAATTTACTTGAGCCGTTTCTGGTTTAAATATCACTTACATATTTGAAATCTAAATAACTGTTATGATTGCCAAACAACTGGCAAGTTTGATCAAAACCCTTACAACAGACAGACGGGAGGCTTCTCAAGAGAATTTCCGCAGTTTTCACTCCTCTCTCGTTTATCTAACAGTAAATTGATGACTCTTTGAGAAGGGATTTAAGATGAATTAGAAGAATAAAGATACCAATGAACAAATTGACTACTCACTATTGTATAGGTCAGAGGCTCTCAACTTCAGGGCAGGTTTTTAAAAAAGGTTTTATTTATTTGAGAGGGAGAGAGAGAGCACAAGTGGAGGGAGGGGCGGAGGGAGAGGGAGAAGCAGGCTCGTCTCCATCCCAGGACCCTGGGATTATGACCTCAGCCGAAGGCAGATGCTTAACTAACTGAGCCACCCAGGTGCCCCTTGAAGGCAGTTTTGTTCCCCAGGGAACCTTTGGCACTGCCTGCAGCCATCTTGGTTGTCCCACCCAGGGGAAAGGCTGCTACCAGCACTCGGCGGGTAGAGGCTAGGCTTGCCGGTCAGCGTGCTCCCGTGCTCAGACTACTCTTCCTGGAGCCCCTGCAACAGAGAATTATCTGGTTTAAAATTCAGGAGTGCCCAAGTTGAGCATCTGTGGCACAGAAACTATGAGAGATTTTAAAAAGCATGAGGCACAATTAGCTTTTTTTAGACATTCACAAGCTAAATCATTTTTTTTAAATGCTACGTGACGGAAACAGACTGTCCTCTTCCACATGTCTTGTTCTGGCCCATGTTTCGGATTTACGGAAAGGACAGGCGTCCTGGCCCGCTCCTGAGTAAGGCATTGTGGGTAAGGCCGAAGAGGCAGAGCCAGCAATGGGTGTGACTGGTCATGGCTGGCTGTTCCCAGGATCTGCACTCTCCTCAGGGTGCCAGTGAGCGACTGGACCCATTTTTACCTTTAGGGGGTCCACAGCTCTGAACCCACCCAGGAACGCCAGGGCCCCGAGCTGCAGCTCCGATGGAGGAAGATGAGGAGAGGGGGTGTGGCTGCTTCCGGGTCCGGTCAGCTCTGGGGAGGCTTCTGTTTGTCCGTGGTTCTCCTGCTGTCCTCAGGCTCCCGGGCCGCCTGTGTTCCATCTAGCACCCAGAACCGGAGCTTACACCCTGGGGCCATCCCAGCGCTCTGTCATCTCTCTGCCACTTTCCACAGGTGGGCCTTACTTTTGGGGAGGCCTTCCTGGGCTGGGTGTGGCCCAGATTAGACTCCTCGAAACCTATGTGCTGTGCATGGCACTGTAGTTGGGAAGGATAGTCCTAGCTTGTAGAGATGAAACAATATGAGGTCTGTGATTTGGATGAGAATAATCCGCAGGTGGGCACTGGGGAGAGCTGGTGAGGTGACAGAAAAGGAGATTCGCTGTGAGCCCTCGGTGATGGTCCATTTACTGTGCATATCTCTCAGCTTTTGTATATGTTTGGAATTTTCCATAAAATATCTCTAAGCCATGCTTGACCCTCAGAGCTGGGCAGGGCACGGGGTAAGAGCCAAGTCTGTGGAGGGACGGAATGAAGGGACCTTCCAGTTCTCTTTCAGAGTGTGTTATTTGATTTCATTTCTGACTGCAGGCCTGGGTGTGGAATGAGAGTTTTTAATGCCGTCCTGTTGATGTGGAAGATTAGGACTCCTGTCCAGTGGGTGTGTTTGGGGGGCAGTGCGGGTGGAATGGGAGAGGAGGCAGGGTCGAGGAAGGGTCTGTCAGGCCATGATGATGGGGCTGGAGTCCACCCCTTAGAGATGCCCTAGAGGTGGGAAGGTCTGGAGGAATGGAGGAGGACATGTTGGCCTTCGGGGTTACGAGGATGGGACCTAGAAGCACCCCCCGGGCAGAGAGAGTGAACAGATGGTGACTCAGGATCAGGATCACAGATGACTCCTGTGTTTTAAACTTGCCTACAGTAACCAAGAAACAGGCATCCCCGGTCTTAGTATCTCAGTACTTGATGTCCCATCCCCTAGGGTCCCCTACACTTACGCTTCATGTGGAAGGGGTGGGGATTTGATTGCAGGGTCTCTCTCTCTCTCTCTCTCTCTTTAAAGATGTTATTTATTTATTTGAGAGAGAGCATGAGAGCGTATGAACAGGGGAGAGGGGCAGAGGGAGAGAGAGAAGCAGACTCCTTACTCAGCAGGGAGCTGGACGTTGGATTCATCCCTTGGATCCCAGGACCCTGAGATCATGACCTGAGCTGAAGGTGGATACTTAACCAACTGGGCCACCCAGGTCCCCATGGACTTATCCCTTAGATGGGGGAAGCAGGGCGTTACTTAAGAACAGCACAGGGCAGGGGGTGGGGTGTGCCTGGGTGGCTCAGTGGGTTAAACCTCTGCCTTCGGCTCAGGTCATGATCCCAGGGTCCTGGGATGGAGCCCCGCATCAGGTTCTCTGCTCAACGGGGAGCCTGCTTCCCTTCCTCTCTCTCTGCCTGCCTCTCTGCCTACTTGTGATCTCTCTCTGTCAAATAAATAAATAAATAATCTTAAAAAAAAAAAAAGAACAGCAGTCTCTGTGTGTGTGGCGGGGGGGTACTTGGGTGGCACAGTTGGTTAAGCATCTGACTCTTAGTTTCCACCCAGGTCATGATCTCAGGGTCCTGGGATTGAGCCCTGCATTGTACTCTGTGCTCAGCCTGGAGTCTGCTTGAGATCCTCTCCTTTTCCCTCTGCCCCTCTTTCTCTTGCTGTCTCTCTCTCTAAAATAAATAAAATCTTAAAAAAAAAAAAAAAAGAACAGCACTGGGGACTTTTTCAGTTATCTATGGCTCTGTAACCAATCTCCTTCAAACTTAGTGGCTTAAAATGGCAAGCATCTTCTTGCCCCCCAGGCTCAGTGGGGCAGTTCTTGGGCTGGTCTCCCATATGGCTGTAGTCGGGTGATGCTGGGGCTGATGCCACCTGGAGTCTCCGTGGGCCTGAGGACAGCTGGCCTCTCCTTGTCACCTCAAGGCATCTGCTTCCCATATGGCCTCTGCATGATGTCTCCACGGGGCCTCTCTGGCAGAGGAGCGGGCTTTCTACATGGAGGTCCAGGTCTCCCCAAAGGGCCACTGCAGAAGCCTTTTCAGGGCTTAGCAGGAGACTGGCCCAGCTTTGCTTCTACCACCTTCTGATGCTTATGGAGTCTGGGGCCAACTCACGCTCCAGCGAAGGGAAATGAACTCCAGCTCTGGGCAAGGAAATGACAAAGAATGGCGGCCATCTTTAGTCCACCACAGGGAACCTATTTGGAGTCTGCTTGGAAGGACAGAGCTGCAGTCATATTATGTAGGGCCACCTTGTAAAGGGGGAGATCCCAGCTTTCCTGTCCCTTGCTCCTTCCCCATTTTGTCTCTGACTTGGGCAGGCATGGGGATGATACTTCTCTAGACCTCACGTCATCATCTGTCAAAGGGTGTCACAACGATCTGTCTCTGGGGCCACTCCTGGGCCAACCATTTCACTGTGTACTGGTCTTGAAATTCATTCACCCAACCTGACTCTGAAGCCTGATCTGTCCCTCCATGCTGGGGGCCTCCTCCACGAGGTCAGGCTTTGGCCATATCCTGACCTATCTTAGCCTGTTTGGGCTGCTATAACAAAAATGCCATTGACTGGGGGCTTGGATGAAAATCACGTACTTCCCTCAGTTCTGGAAGCTGGCAAGTCCAAGCTCAAGGCCAGCAAAGTCTGTGTCTGGCAAGGTTCTGCCTTCCAGTTCACTGGTGTCTGTCATCTTGCTGTGTCCTCACATGGCAGGAGTGGAGGAGCTCTCTGGGATCTCTTTCTAAGGGCACCAATCATCCAATCACCTCCCAAAGGTCCTAACTCCAAATGCCATCACACTGGGGATAGCATTTCAACATAAGAATTTTGGGGGAACAAAAACATTTAGCCTATTACCTGGTCCTCTCATTCTCCTCCTTCTGGACCCACAGAAAGGAGGTCTTTGGGGATGTGGGAATGAGACCCTGATTCAGCTGTAACTGCATCTTTCAAATTATGGGTCCAGTGGCAGCTGAGGGGAGCCTGGGGGAGAGATGATAACAGAAGGCCTTCACATGTTAGCATCTGCTTAATCTTCCCGAGAGCCTGAAGCTGAGAAGTTAGTATTGACCTTAAGAGTCTCTAAGTGGTCGGGGTGCCTGGGTGGCTCAGTGGGTTAAGCCTCTGCCTTCAGCTCGGGTCATGATCTCAGGGTCCTGGGATCGAGCCCCACATTGGGCTCTCTGCTTAGTGGGGAGCCTGCTTCCTCCTCTCTCTGCCTGCCTCCCTGCCTACTTGTGATCTCTCTCTGTCAAATAAATAAATAAAATCTTTAAAAAAAAAAAGAAAAAAAGAGTCTCCAAGTGGTCATGGTGGAGTCAAGGGTCAAGGCCAGGTTGCCAGGCCACTGCACCCAACCTCTCCCCATAGCCCCAGTCACAGTCCCCGTGGCCTGCCTTTGGGTGGGCGGGGAGGTGAGTGTAGAGGGCGTCGGCCCTGCTGTCATGCCCAGACTCTTTGGGGATTCCCTTTCCTTAGTTACAAAGAGTCTTCTCTTTGGTTTGCTACCTGGGACAGATGTTCTCAATTTTCAAGGAGCAAATGTTTCTCGTTTCATCTTACCTTAATCAGATTACCTGGGTTCTGTCCACAAAGTGTCTGGGGAGCTGGATAAATGGCAGGGGGTCCCAGCCACCCGCAGATCTGGAGGGGAGAGTGTGTGCCATGAATGGCTTCTCTGTCTGCTGGCCGTGGACCGGCTGACCCAGGGGCTTCACCAGGGGAGCAGAGGCGAACAGGTTGCTCTGGCTCCTGGGCCTGTAATTGAGATTTGACCTGTTTCCAAGTCCATATGCCTTGAAGGAATCCTTCGTTCTCTCACCCTTCTCTGGTTCTTGGCCACCACCCCCATCTTTCCCAGTGCCCAGGTGGAAAATGAACACTCTAACACCGCGGGCTCAGGCCCAGGCTCTCTCCCTTCTCTGCCACATTCCACACACAGTTGGGGTCTGCCGGGAGACACTCCCGGGCAGAGTGTGGCTGGATAGTGTTTTTTTTTTTTTTTTTTTAAGATTTTATTTATTTATTTGACAGATCACAGGTAGGCAGAGAGAGCAGAAGGGAAGCAGGCTCCCCGCTGAGCAGAGCCTGACTTGGGGCTGGATCCCAGGACACCAGGACCATGACCTGAGCCAAAGGCAGAGGCTTTAACCCACTGAGCCACCCAGGCGCCCCCTGGATAATGTTTTTTAAAAAGTCTTTGAAATACACTCATATTCAAAGCAGGACTGGAGGTGGAGGCGTGGAGTGAGCTCAGGTAGACTTGCAGTGCGTTCTCGGAGAGACCCATTTGCTTTCAGTTCTGAGCAGAAGAATCCTCAGCAGCCCTTGTGTGGTTCCCCTTACTTTACAAGGACAGGGGTGTTTCCATGTCTGCCTCCCTCATTTAGCCCCTTGTTAATCACAACTGGAATCAGCAAACACCAGGAGGTACCAAGAGCTCTTTTTGATTCAAGGTCATGGCTCCCAACTTTGGCTGCATGTTAGGATCTTCTGGGAATCTGCAAAACACGGAAGCCAGACTCCCTCCCATAGATATTCTGAGGAACTGGCCTGGAGTGCCAGCTGGATGAGAGTGTCCCACGTGGTTCCAACGTGCAGACAAGGTGGCAAGCTCCCACTCCAATGTCCTTTCCTTCTCCTCTGCCAGCCCTGCTTGAACCTGTCCATGCCTCGGCTTGGGAGCTGCTCATGTGGGTGTCCATGGCATTGCCTCTCGTCAACCCCTGGGACCTGGTCAGACTCTGCCAGTTCCCAGTGTATTCACACGGCAGAAAGAGGATCTTAGCTGGAGATGTCCAAAGTGCCTTCAGTCCACAACTGTGGAGAGTCAAAGGACACAACTTGCAGGTGTTTGTAGATGGCTAGGGAAGCCACCGCAAAAGGCCTGTCACAGTGCAGACGGTCTCTGTGCTGTTAGTGGAGGAGGCCTTGGAGGTGGAAGGTGCAGGGCAAGGCTCACCCTTTCTCCTTTACCTGCTTGGCTTCCTCAACCCAGTAAATGGCAGCTTTATGCTTTCAGTTTCACAGGCCAAACGCCTCGGACTCATCTTCGATTCCTGGCCTCCTCTCACATTCCATGTCGAATCCATCAGCAAATCCTGTTGGCTCCACCTTCAGAATATCTTCAGATTTTGACCACTTCTCACCAACTCCACTGCTCACCCAGGTCCCTGCACCAAGTTGTCATGGTGCAGCAAGCTCCTCACCTGGTCCCTCTGGTTTCCACCTGGACCATCTATGGTCTATTCTCAAAATGGCAACCCAAGGGCTCCTTTCAAAATGCAGTTCAGAGTATGTCACTATTGTGCTCAGAATGTTCCATTGGCTTCCAGACTTACATCCTGTAAAATCCAAAGTTCTTCCCACGATCTGTAAGGCCCAGCATAGTGTGGGGCCCGATATATCTCTGGCCTCATTGTCTGACACTCTCCCCTTGTTCATGCCAACCCAGACATACCCATCTCCTTGCTGTTCTTTTGGCTTGTGAAATCTGCTTCCACCTCAGGGCCTTTGTACATGCTATTCTCTCTGGTTGGAATGCTCTTATCTTTGATATTTGTGCAGCCCAGTTCCTTACTTCTTTCTGGTTTCTTCTCAATTGTCGTCTTATCAGA